GCTCAATTACTTGAAACTCCACTTCCTGACTCACAGCATTATATGTATACATTACAAACAACCTAACAGTTTAGTTTCCCACTACTACCATCTTTTCCCAGTGTTTCCCAGTTTACTTATCTAAACCAACTCAGAATATATGTGCATTTCATAGAGCTTGTTCAAATGCTTAGTACACAATAGAATTTTAAAGAACAAGTCTAATACATTATTTATTTATCACTTAACACACTGCCACTTTCTTTTCAGTAAGTTTTGATCTCTCAATGGATGTCTAGTCCTATCATTTTCTTTCCCTACTCTCTTTAGCTTGAGTATTCTATAGATCTTCTTCACAGCACCTTTATAACACCCTCAGATTCTTGCTTCTAAATGTATAATTAACCACCCACAAAAACAGCATCTTTACAGTTGAAGTGCATGTTCATTCATTTTCATTCATTCATTCATTCATTCATTCATTCATTCATTCATTCATTCATGTGAGAATTCCCACATTCTTGGTTTAAAACCGCTCATTCTAGTATTGTCCTTATCCAAAGCACAGCGATGTATCTTGTGTTTTTTTTCTAGTTTATCTGTGTTTTCATTCTAGTATTGTCCTTATCCAAAGCACAGTGATGTATCTTGTGTTTTTTTCTGCTCTTTTCATAAAAATTTAGTGTCTTCTGGAATAAAAGGCCACACAGATTAAAATTAAGCAACAGAATTACCCCTTATTCTTTTAATTTGCTGATAAGTATATATCTTCGCTTATTAATAACTATCATTCCATAGTAACACATATGCTCATCACCTTCAGACACGCTGTGTATCTTTTGACTTAATGTAATGTGAAGACTCACGCTAACTGTAGACTAGGACTATACATAACTCTAAGGGTACTGTTAGGAAATTATTTTGCATGATGGTTCCTTTGTTGCTTGTTTTAGCAATCACTAACTGCAACTATGACTTTATTCCTGATCCACCAGTTCTCCCTGGGATACAGGGTACAGTATGTAAATAGCTTAATGTGATACAGCTGAAACCTAAAAATAAACAATACTGCAAAATTTTGAAATGGAAAGAAGGGAAAAAAAGGGTTAATAAAATCTGACCAGTTTGGATACCCACTTCAAGGTTCTTCTATTTGGAAGTGATTTTTACTGCTTGGAGGACTTATTAAAAGAAGATATATATCCCTGAACTATTTTTCCTGAAAAAAAAATAGCATGATACTACCTTGAGACATGACTATGTGAATTTAATTCATTTGAAGAGCATCAGAAAGACAGAAACACAAAGAGAAAGTGTCAGGAATCTGACCCATAACAGGGACATAAAGATTAATCAGTTTCATCTGTTTTCCTAACTAACAGATAAAGAAAAAACAGCCATAAGTACTTTCAAGCAATGTATGTAAAAGTATTCAAGATTTCAGTGGGTATGTATAAAACGGGGAAACTACAACAGGTGAAGAAGTTCAGAAACTTGTTGTTTAATAAACAAATATACAGTGTGACTCACTATGTTCCAATGTGCAACCAACAGACACAGGAGAGATTAGCTAACACTTCATGGAATGTCTGAGATACGGATGGAAGGCAGTTAGGCATCAAAATGTTTTCCTTCAACAACTTAGCTACATGTGTTCATGTCTGTATCAACCCCATATGAGTAGACTAAGACATATTTGAATAGTAATTATTTTGTTGTAATTTGCATGAGCAAGGTCCCTAGAACTCCAGTAGAGAATCTCCTTTTTTTTTTTTTTTTTTTTCCTCCTCATGGATAAGCAAGTCTAGGCTACCTATAGAGTTAAGTTACTCTTTCTATATATCAGAAGCTTAGAAGCTTCAGCTGAAACTCAAAAGACATTTCTGTTCATCTTTTTGTGTCACAGCCTAGACTATATTCTTTGCTTCATTGGCATATGTCAAATGTGTTCACATGGAAACACAAAGGCAAGAAACAATGGAAATCTAAGTAAACCAAACTCATTCTTTTAGTTTATGCTCAGGAAACCAATCTATTAATTAACTATATGTAGTGATATTGGCTACTTCTTCAGTGTAGCTTTTTTTTTTGGGTAGCTCCTGTTTATGGTAAATTGAAAAAATAATTGTGACTGTCATATGAATGAAGAAAATCAAGAGACCTTTCCAGAGTTCATTTTATGATAGAGAAGTGCTCGTATGTCTTCATACATGAAAAATCAGGTATACATACAAAATGAATGCATCTCTTACTTTAAAAAAAAATGGATATGAACTAAAAAGTGAAAGAATAAAGTAAAAATAAAAAGCATATGGAAGCCAATACACAATATACTGAAGAGCTGAGATTTATAATTATTAAAAATAAATCCAAGAGTATTTATTTCAGTTACTGACATAACTGATATAAAGAAGTATAAATAGCAACCTGTTTTTTTTTTCTGTTATAATTGCTTGCAAGTGTATACTGGAAAAGTGATAAAAAAAATGAATCACTTTCTAGGGTGATACTGTAATATATTTATTGGATGCAATCCAATGTATATTTACAAAAACATTATTTTAATATACTGTCATTTATATTTATCTATGCAACAGAAATAAACCTAGAAAATCTAACTTGTCAACCACTCACATCAAATGATCAACTAAAATATTAATGCAGATTTTAAAACGTCTAGGGTTTATAATATGGCAAGGAAATTACATAATTCTTAGCACATTTCTGAATTTTCCTAATCAGTTAAGAGGTACTAAAACCAGAACAGATAGCATGCTACTGTCTGTCTATGTATTCCTTGATTAAATCTACTTTATATGTACACACCCACATCTCTTAGAGCTTGTAACTAGACATTAAGTAACCAGAATTCACACATATTGTCCTAAGAGATGCATTTCTTAAGTGTCTGAATGATGTTCCCTCTGTCCAATTCTAGGTGAACAGTTTTAGGCTTTTCTTCCTACTCCTCTCCCAAGCAGCATGCATTCTCTCAGATTACTTCCTGAATAAGAAAGAACTGTCTTTTCTGTTTGCTTTAGAATGCTTTTTTTATGTGCTTTTTTTTTTTTTAATCATTATTTATTTATTTATTTAATCACTGAATACTGAGAGCAAAATTTAAGCACTAGAGAATTTGCTGTCCAGCTGTTGTGGCATAAATCAATATTTAAAAGACACGGTGGCTATTTTTCTTCCTTTGAAAGCAGGACTTTAGGTCCTGAATTTCTTGTTCCTTTAAAACCAGAACTTTATCAATGTTAAACAGAAACCCTAATATCAGTTTGTAGCCAGAAGCACTACTTCAGTAGTAAATAAAACAGTAATATACTTCAGTGATAAAGTAAACAAAACAGTAATAAAATTGTTAATTAATGTTTGACTTCTGTTTTTCTCTGGAGTAATTTCCAAGCTCTAGTGTTTTATCAATAAGGAGCTAATGCATTCCAGCTTCAGGGAAAGAATTACTTCAACTTTATTTCTTGATTTCACAAAGAGTTAGTATAAAAAACTTTAGTGATAGCTCACAAGTGCATGGATAAAGCTGGCCAATGCAAAGAGGAGTACCTGAAGGAAAATGCAACCTTTTTCATATTTTTCTTAGAGATAAATCTTCTTCTAAAATTCTATTTTCTAAGATACAGGTGGAACGCAGGCGTTCAGAATATCATCTTATTGCTGCCAACTTTTTATGCCTGGGGATTTATGAGCTAACAGATGACATAGAGTTTTGCTTTTGTATCCCTACTTTTCGCCATGAAGCTTTTAACTCTTTAATTATGTCCCAGATGCACAGTGTACTTCTTGACACCCTTCCCCAGTAGGCAGATGTTTCTAAGCAGATCTCTCTGTTGGGAAGGAACCTCCCTTGGGTTTAACACTGTCAAAGTGCATTAAGAGCAGATATAAAAGGTAAGAAGCAGATGTGCAGTGCTATTTCTGACACACTGTCCTTCTATCCAGCGTTTTCTATGGGTACATCAACACTAAGCCAACAGAATAAATCGTTAACCTGTAACCTCACCCAGTCTGCATGCAGTCTATTAAGCCTGTACCCCTGTGATTCACACTCTTGTGTTTACTTTGCTGCTGCATTTCTTGTTTCACTTTATTTTGCTCCCAGATTTACACTGTGCTCTCAGAACCAAAATACCAAGGTGAGGAGGCCTGCACTGGAGGGAGGGGAGGAGGATGCTGTGAGGGACGGTTAGTGACCTGACAACTTGTACGAAGAAAACAGAAGCAGCTCTTTTTCCCTCTGCCGCTTCCCACTGACAGCCCCAGAGCACATCTGCGTCACACACATGGGAGGGGGCGGCCTGGTGAGAGGCGCTGAGATGGATAGGAAATTGTACACTGACAACCTTGACAGCCTCACGGCCGTGATTTTTTCTTTCCCTTTCTCTCCTACGTACAGCGTATATAAAGGAGCTCCTCTTTCTGTGTGCCAGCTCTCGGCCTTTGCCACCCCAGATAACTGCAGGCATGGGACTCCCCTGAGAAACAGGATGGGAAGGCGGGAGGTGGAGACAGGCTTCCTACGACTTTTTCCCTCTGGCTGCACTAGGTCACAGATCTCTAAGGGAGGAAGAGCCACCTGCCTCCCGCTGTGGCTGCTGCCGCTGCAGGTCCTCGCCGGGCTGTGTAGCTCGTTTCCCCGCTAATCAGATTAGCGCGTCTTCTCAGCCTCTCTCACCCGCTCTTCCCTAGCAAGTGTCTGTTTCCCCTGAGAGATGTCTCTCATTCCTGCCTTTTTCTCCTCCCCTTTCCACTGATCACCATGTAATTCTCGTCAGCTCTGGGCATCTTTGTCTATCCCCCTTTCCTTCTGGGTGTCTACCTCCTCTCGGCCCCGTGCATCGCTCCATTCATCCATCCTCTCTCTCTTCACTGTTGTGTGCTCTCATCTCTCTCCTCCCGCTGGCTGCCACCCCTCGCTCTACAGCGCAGCGCTGCCCGGAGGAACCACCGCAGCTGCCGTGAGCGGAGCCGCACCGAGCTGCTTCTGAGACCGTCGTCGCCGCCCGGCCCTGCCTGGCCGCCGTGAGTCCCGCCTCAGCCGGCGCCCGTACCCTGACCGCCGCAGCACCATGTCCGGCTCCGGCAGGAAAGACTTCGACGTGAAGCACATCCTGCGCCTCCGCTGGAAACTGTTCAGCCACCCCTCGCCGGTGGGCGGCCCGGCGGGGGGCGGCTGCCTGCCACCCGACAGCAGCTTCGAGCACTGGGGGCCCAGCCAAAGCCGCCTGCTGAAGAGCCAGGAGAGAGGCAACAGCATCTTCTGGAAGAAATCCACCTCCTCCGCCTCCTCCTCCACTGCTACCACCGCCAGCCCGCCCAACGGGACACTGCTGTCCGCCTCTAGCCCCGGCGGGGGGCACGGGCTAGGGCACGGGCACGGGCCGGGGCCGCCGGCGCCCCGCACTGTCTTCTACGTGGAGTCCCTGGAGAAGGAGGGTGTGCCCGGCGGGATGGAGGTGGCTCGGGAGCCCGAGAAGCCCCTGGCGCCGCCGGAGCGGGAGGAGGCGCCGGAGGAATGCGCGGATGGAGGCAGCCGGGCAACAGGTGATGGAGGCGGACACAGGTAAGGGAACCGCGGCTGCTCCGGCGCAATCTGCGCGCGTCGGGGTGCATCGGGGGGTCCCTGCCCCGTGTCCGCGGTGGTGGGCTATCAACCGCGGGGTCAGCTACGGGGGTGGGGCACAGATGGGCTGGTATGCGGACATTTTTGCGGGAGGGTGGTGGGGCTGAGGTTGAAAGGGCGCTTCCATTTGTAATGACAGGGTTTGGGGGGCTGAAGGGCTCCCCGCCGCGCGGGAAGGGCGGGCGAGAGGCTGCCCGAGGGTCTCAGGAGACATCGGGCATTCGCGGCGTCGGGGTGCCGTGGGCAGGGGATGCTGCCGTTGCCCCGTCCTACTGCTGTCCTGCCCTTCCTCTGCCCCTATCCTGCGCTTTCTCTGCCTCAGCTCCTGCCCTCGGGGCTGGCCTGGGCAGACGCGTATCTCAAAGCCGGTGCTCCGCGCTGGGGATCGTTACCACTCAACTTTCTCAGAAGTTCATTAAAATGCTAGCGGGAAGTGGTGTTCTGAGTATTGGGACTGCAGGTGAAAAGCTCAAAAGTAAAAACGTTCGCTTTTGCGGAGCTCAGCGACTAAATCGTGTCACAGCCTACCTCAGAGAAAATTATTAGTTTTACTAGTCATCAACTGAGTGACTCCTGAGAAGATGTGAAAACAAGCAAGACACATCCAGGTGCTTGTGTCTCATATGAAAGTTCAGTTAATGTTGGATTGCTTTTCTTTCTCAGTCCTTGTCCCCTCTTCTTCCCCCAGCCCAAACAGAAATTAAAATCATTAGAAGGAAATGTAGCGAACACAGAGCTGTCAGGAATACTGTGACACAAATAATCCTGAGGATGAAATGCTTCATTGCTTTAACTCTGCTTGCCCCCACCTCCCCATCGTTAAAATAATTGCATTTTCATTTCCCTTGTAATTTACTACTTTTTCTATAGAAAAAAGAAAAAAAAGTATAGTTCTGTTTCTAAGCAGAAAAGAATTGTGTTCTTTATATTGGTAGTAAAGCATATGGTATTAAATATTATATTTTATTTGATAAGGAGACATCACTGTTCACGTGTTTGTTTTTAATATAGCTGTAGATTAATATACATGTGCGTTAAGCCTTTCAGACAGACCTAAAAGAATATATAGAATATATTCTGTACTTGAAACTCATAAATTGTTTTGTCAGTTATCATAGTTAATTTAATAGAAACTACATGCCTTAAAGAAACACAGGATAGCTGATGAATGAATTAGGTAACGTTTTTAAAGGAAAAGCAATACTGAAGTTTTCATGAGCATTGGAAGTTATTCTGAACAACACGATGCTTATTATAGGATTCTATACAAATTGTTACTGAAATATAATACATGACAGGTAAAACAAAATTACCTCTTCAAGTTTTCTGAACTGAATAGAAGAGGTTAAAAACTGGCACAAATATAATCTCATTCTATAGATTTTACATTAGGTATGTCACAGATCTGAGAATCTTCAGATATCTGCAATGCTGACAGAAGCTTACTGAATTTTAATGGCACCACTTAATTTGTCCAGAAGAATTGTCTTGCTAGGATGAAATTCCTCATCAAATATATATTCTGTGCTGATATATATCTAATTTATTCTTACTGCTGTTTTTTTTTTTTTATAATCCATTTGTTCCATGTTCTTCATTCGCTGCTACTGAAGCTACACACCTAGTCATCAGTAGCTACTCATCTTGTTGAAGAAATATGCTAAAATTGTTCAGATTTAGAATGACTAAGACAGGGAGATACCATTTTATTATTAATGAAAATGCCACCTTTTGAGATATTTAAATGAGATAGTTTTAGGGTCTGAGACTTTTTCTTTTTCCATCCAAGATTCTTTCATTTACCTATATGAATTTTGAATGCTGTGGCAAGAGGTGGTCAAGTGATGCAGAAATGTCAGTGCTGTGCTTGAAAGCTCCGTGATCCAGCAAACTTCTAATGCCCTTGCAAGTTATGTCTCACTACTTCTGTAGAAATTAGTCCTTTTATAAATCCCAAATGCCATGGGAAAGGACACTTTCCACTAGACCAGCTTGCTCAAAACCCTGTTCAACCTGGTCTTAAAAAATTCCATCCAGTTCCAACCCCCTGCCAAGGCAGGGACGCCTCACACTAGACCCTGTCACTCAAGGCTGTCCAACCTGGCCTTGAACACTGCCAGAGGAGCATTCACAACTTCCTTTGGCAGCCCATTCCAGTGTCTCACCACCCTCACAATAAAGAACTTCTTCCTTGTATCTAACCTGAACTTCCCCCATTGAAGTTTGAACCCATTGCCTCTTGTCCTATCACTACAGTCCCTGATGAAGAGCTGCTTTCTGGCATTCTTGTAGGCCCCCTTCAGATACTGGAAGGCTGCTATGAGGTCTCCACGCAGCCTTCTTTTCTCCAGGCTGAACAGTCCCAACTTTCTCAGCCTGTCTTCATACGGAAGGTGCTCCAGCCCCCTGACCATCCTCATGGCCCTCCTCTGGACTTATTCCAACAGCTCCATGTCCTTCTTATGTTGAGGACACCAGAACTGTACCCGATAACTCCAAGTGAGGTCTCACAAGAGCAGGGTAGAGGGGCAGGATCACCTCCTTCATCCTGCTGGTCACTCTCCTTTTGATGTAGCCCAGGATATGGTTGGCTTTCTGGGCTGCAGGCAGACATTGCTGACACATGTTCAGTTTCTCATTGACCAACACCTCCAAGTCCTTCTCCACAGGGCTGCCCATTGGCATTAAGAAGAATGAAAGGCTGGACTTCATGCACGACATAAAGTACTGACATAATGGTTCTACATTCCATTTTGCATTTGTAAAAGCAAAAAAATGTTTTAAAGTTAACAGTTAATATTAAATCACTATTTGATTGCATGAAATTGCTTGAAAATTTGCATATCAAATTGTTTTAGACCCTGTATGACAAATCTGACAACAACTACATTAGATAGTTAAACATAGATTCTATTTTTATCTTAATTTTGTAAGAAAAAGCTGTTAGAAACCAAAATCTGTACGCTGAATTTACAATTCATATTTATAAATCAATCACAAAAATGCTTGGAAAATATCAGTGGCTAAGATTTTCTGTATAGCCATTCGCTATGAGTTTTTAATGGAGTTTATCATAATAGCTTATATCACATGACATTAATCATCCCTCAACACGAGAAGTATTCACTTAATAAGCAAAAAGTTGGTATTTTCTTTCCTCGTTCCTCAGGGAATGATAGTATGCTTTGCTTGGTTTACACTGTCTGAATCCTATGAAAATATCATTACTCATGAGCTCTCAGCACCGTTCACCACTGCACCCAGTACGTGCGTCATAGACTTCATGGGTTTATCTTTACAACTGCCCTGTTTTACAATGGCGGGCTAAGTCAGAGAGAGATATAAAAGCAAATAAAGAATTTAATTGCTCATTTCAAAGCATATAGCTTTTTTGTCGTTCTACTTTCTGTGTTCTCAGTTGCACCCATAAGTAATGAGCCCTTCTGCAAACCAGTTCCGGACTCCTCTGGATGCATGCAAGAGGAGTAAGGAGCACAGGATTCAATAAATGTTTTGTTTGAGAGGTAACTCGAAGTAGATATGCCTAGTCCATACAAAACAAGCACTGACAGTGAGGAGGTCTTTCATAAAACATACAAGCGTTTGAAAAATCAGCTTCTGAAAGATGGCAAGTCCTCCCACCATTAGATACTGTTTAACAGTATACTGTAAAGCAAGAAGTGAAATGACTGAGTACCGTGCCCTTCCTACACAGCAGTTTCACACTCAAATCTTGCTTTGCCAGAAAAAGTCATGAGGAAGGAACTTTTTCTACCATTCCTGTCAAACTGTCAGTGGGAAGCAAAAAATTCAGTATTAATGGGAATCCAAAAGGTTAAAAAGTGAGTGCATAATTTTGTAATTCAAACATTAACTGAGCAATTTAGTTGAGAAGTCTCTACACTCAGAACTATTTATTTAAATTAAATAATTATTTGATAAGAAACAATAATGATCAATCAATAAAATCGAAACTGTTGGGTAAGCATTTCTTTTGTATTTTTCTGTTTTGATTCTACAAATATTTTATTTTATGCTTTTGATCATTAATCTCTCCCACTTTCAGGTCTTCCTCCTTTTCTCTTAGCAGCCTACCACCTTGTGGTTAGGACAATGATATAGAAGGTTACAAGTTTGAAACTTGTCGGGATAAGCAAGAATTTCAGTGCAGTTTTCTAATTTATTAAGAAAACATTCTGATAATTTTAGAAAATGTCAATAACATTGCCATCAAAATTTAGAACTTGGTATACTGTTCTATGTGTACCTTGTCTCAAGAGAGGATCCTGGGCTCTGTTTTCTAAGTAAATGAAGTTTTCTATTTGCAGCTGTGACCTTGGTACCCGAGCTTACAAAAAAGGGGGATCAAGACAATCTTCCCGTCTGTCCTGTAAACTCTCATATCTTTAAGTATTTTCTCAACTGAACATAGAAATTGTTCAACTCAATGCCTTTCTGAGGTGCTATCCTCTTTGCATTATTTAAATATCAAAATATGAACTGTGGGTACTACTGTGATAGCCAGATCCTAAAATTAGGTACTGTAGATGCCAAATTTGTAGCTGTTTACATTTCCCATTGACTTGGCTAACTAACGGCTCTGTTAGCTGTGTTCTGTTAACTGTGCTCTGTTAAGAATGTAATTTAATGCTAGAGGTGGAATATAGATCACACGATTCTGCATTTCTAGGTTATGGAACCAGAAGAGAATAATTAATTTTTCTTTACCATGAGCTGGCTTTTCCTCAGTTATAAAACTTTAAAAAATGGTTACTTAGCTTCTATGCTTTTATACTTACGCTTTTGACTTTCATAAAAAAAAAAAAAAAAAGAAGCAGGGTTCATGCATAACACAGAACACAGACCTTTTCCTTCCGATGTACTGGTTAATTCTCAGAGGATGCATGTTCTGTGCCTGGGATACAAAAGAATCTTGTGAT